CTTTCCCTGGGAGCCAGCTTATCAAATACTGTTCCAGTCTGGAAGTATCAAAAGGAGAGGAAACATGAGCATTTTTCTACTTCAAGAAAGAAAACCAAGAAAACCAAAAAAATTTTAATACAACTCTTTTCAGCACCAGATTCATCATACCAAGTCAATATAAACCCATCTACTCCTTGTTATTGAAATGCTGGTGGATTAATATAGAGGAAAGAGAATGCACAAAGAAAGTCAGAATTTATCTGTACTGTTCTTACAACGTGGATTACCTCATGAAGTAATTGGATTTTTTTTCATTTTCATTATCTCTGATACAGTTTGTTCCTTCTGCTCTGATTCACAGCACAAACCCCCCCAAATTACAGAAATTAATTTCTATTTTAGTGTCTTCAATTTTGTTCTATTTTTTTATTGTTTTATCAGGCCTTAAATCCTAGAAATTCCCTTGCTCTGCCTGAGAGAAGAAAACTAAAATGCTGTTACATATACATCTACATTCAAAAAAACCCATTTAGTATTCAGTCCTTTTAGCTGCAAAATCAAATGCACCCAATGGCACACAAAGAGGAATCAACATCAGGCATACATTTCAAACACATTACACAAGTAATCAAAGAAAAAAGGGAAGACATCTGAAGTAAAGCTACTAGCATAACAGACTGTGCATAAACCATTGAGCCTTTTGAGTGGGATAAGTATATTTCAGGCTGTGCCACTAATGTGATGTTTTAATGGTGTGAGAGCTGTAAACAAAACTTCTTAAAGATGGATAATAATCTATGAAGTCTGCTATAACATTTAAAGGACCAAATAAATAAATATACATCTTTATTTTCCTGCCAAAAGTGGACATCACATAAATCCTGGTGATGGATGCTACAGTGTTGAGAATGTTGTCACTTTTTCTGGACAATGAAACAAAACCACAGAAACCAGCAGGGGAAGCAGCCAAGTTTAGCCACCATATTTGGGCATCACAATCCTATAAATACCCTCTCAGCATCTAAACAAGGCTTTGATTTTCATTCCCCTTGTAAGAAAATGATTAGTTGTACCATGCTAATAATATACTCTGAAATACCCAGGAGTCAGAATCAATGTTCATGTAATAACACCAGGATGTGATTCCACACTTTGGCAATAACATCCCGCTGTAAACGTGCAACCAAGATGTGTGCAGGGAAGGCTCAGTAACACAGTTCCAGGGAGTTGTGCACCATCAGGTCCAACCCAGTGACCAGCCATGGCAGGGGAGGAGGACACAGGAGGACACAGACTGAGCTACTATAGCCTAGGCTGATAAAGGATCTGGCTCAACTGCTCCTTGCATGAGCTCATTACACACTGTGAGCACGATGCTATCACTGAAGTGCTCACAATGAAAGCCCACACCAGACATTCCTGTTCTTTCACTTGACTTGGGGGAAAAAAAAAAAAAGGTACACCAACAGCTTTGTGTTCATTCATATCACAAAGAATGCAATATACAATATGTTATCACAAGAAAATCATGTATCAAAAAACCCCCTCTTGATTTCATTTAATTTAAAAAGAGACAGAACCAGCCAGTCTGACATCCTATCATGGCTCTGCTTTGTTTATCAACAAAACCCACATACTACAGCCCATAATTCAATTTTAAAAGTATATTAGCTAGCAGTTTTATAATCAAGATCATTTTTACCACTGGAAATGATATAAACTTGGACAAGGATAACATTCAGCACTAACAAATGGGAGGGCATCAGAGTTATGCTTTCTAGGCACAAGTGGTAATTGGATTGGAAGGCAAAGGTCAAGAAAACAGTAA